CAAGACCCCATCTCTACAAAAAATTTAAAATTAGCCAGCATGGTGGCACATGACTGTAGTCTTGGGAGGCTGAGGTGGGAGAATAGCTCGAGCCCAGAGTTTTAGGTTCCAGTGAGCTATAATGGCACCAATGTACTCCAGCGTAGGCAACAGAGTGCTACGGTCTCAAAAAAAAAAAAAGAAGAAGAAGGAATCTTAGGTCTTTCTTCATAGTTTTTATCAGAGATTATAAAAAATCATTTGCCCCAGCTGATTTTCCACACTTCTGTCTTATAAGCCTGCATACACATTCATTCCTAAACCTGAGAAAAGGTTACTAACTTTAAACAAATAGAGCAGAAAACCCTGCCATGAGTGTAAAATTACTATCCCACAATAGAAAAGACAAGTGGATCCTACTCAAAATCTCTAATAAGCACTGTGTCATCCTTCATAAAATACTTGACATATCAATTTTAGTAAACCTTCTCCACAGGTCTTAAAATGTTCCTACTTTATTAGCTCAGTGCATTTAAAGACTCTTAAGTAAAACTACGTTGTAATAAATTCACCAGTATTCTGAAAGTGATTTTTCATTTAAAAAGCTATGAAACAAAGCAGATATTTCTACTTATAGGAGTCACTTTAGAAAACTTAGTGAAAATCCTGAACATCGTCACAAAAAGAATATTGCTTTGGTGAAATGCAGCAACACGCGTCTTGTGCAATGACCATTTAATATTCATTTGCCATTTCAACTAAAAACCTTAAATAATTTCTAGGACTATAATTTGGCTATATGATAATATTAAATTTGAATGTGACATTATTTAGAAAGTTAAAATGAAGGAAAAAAGTGGTATTTGTTCTCTTTTAAGAAAAGGTTATATTCATGCTTAGATGCTACTTTCTCCACAGACACTTAGGTTTTATTCTAAATCCCACTAGCTTCCCAAAGTAACCAGTCATCTTCAGTCATTATAATGTCAGTTTGTTGATGTTTCTGCATAATGTCCTTTCCACAAACGGGCTAAATTTTCCAATACCATGATTTTGCATAACATAGAAAAATCACCATTGTCATTTTAAGCTGACAGAAACATTCTCAGCCTGAGAAACCCAAAACTATTATAAACTTAAAATCTTCTTTAATTACTCTTTTAAAATAGAACAGAAAATTTCTCTTGGTAATGAAGGCTAAAATGTCTTAATTGCAAAAAAGTACTGTTTTTCTACAATTCCCCCCACCCTCCCAAAAAAAGGAATGAATAGAATGTGGATAAATGTTTGATCTGCCAACCCTAACACATCGTTTTAAAATGAACACACTGTCAAAAACTACATTGTCATACAGCTATTTAAATCATAAAGAGAAAGGCAGTTCTGAGGTCCCACTGCTTGCAAGGCTGTCCAGCTTAGTCTAAAAACAGAGGAACACCATAAAGGTGAGATTCAGTTTACTGGTCTATATCCCCAAAACCTGAACTGCTGAAAACAAGTCTTTCATAGTTTTTCTTTATTGTTAATTAGGTAATTTTGTATTGCATTGTTTTCTATAATAGAGAGTAGAACAGGATAAATTAACATGATAAAATGTAGAAATGTCAAAATGACACCAATTAGTAGAATGGTGGAAGGTTTTTTAAGATTCAAAAGTAATTTATAAGTTGGGTTTTAAAGATTCCACATTCTTTTATGTGAACGCTTTAATCATCCAGTTTATTTCTTGGAGGACTTAAGATTAGCTTGTCAACAAGTGGGTTTTGTTTTTTTTTTTCAGCCTTTCCAAGATTTCCAGTACCTCATCTTTGCCAGAAAGCCTATTTACTGGCAGCCAATTTGCAAACATCAAATTTAAGATTACAGCTTCAGTAAAACAAGAAGAAAGAAATTAAAGTTCACTTCAAGTAGTTATGTTGGCATATATACCAAGCAGACTACTTAAGAAAAGAATGACACCAAGGGCTCCATTTTGCCATTCCTCATGTTCTGCATGTATTTGTTTTCATATTACTTTAATCAAGAGACAAATTATAATGAATCTATAATTTAAAGTACACAAATCTCATTACTCCTTCTTGGCTCATGTCATATATTTGCAAACTAAGAATGTGTTCCACTAAAAAAGTTAAGAAAACAGAAACTAAAATAACTTTTTAAGTTTATGTTTCACGAAACAAGAAAATAATTAAGTGGGTTCTTGCAATATACTACTGCTAGGGTCAATTTTAACATCACTGAAATCTTTAAGTTTTCTTCAAAATGTTAGGGAGAATGTTTACTGTCTCATACAGTTATGCAAATTGGCTCCAACAACTAAACCACAAAGCACCTTAAATGATATAAACAATGCCAAATTAACTTTTAATGATAACAAAATTATACTTCTATTACCTACAGAGATGATCCAATAAATACCCAGTAGTAAATATAGTCATTTTGTCTAGAACAATGGAAAATAGAAAGCCCATTAAGAAGCAAAAAAATTATTCAATGTTATAATTACAAATCAATAAACCAATTTCCCATAAAACCATTCTTTTTTTTTTTTTGAGACAGAGTCTCACTCTGTCACCAGGCTCTAGGTTGGAGTGCAGTGGCACAATCTTGGCTCACTGCAACCTCCGCCTCCCGGGTTCAAGCAATTCTCCTGCCTCAGCCTCCCAAGTAGCTGGGACTACAGGCACATGCCACCACGCCCAGCTAATTTTTGTATTTTTAGTAGAGACGGGGTTTCACCATGTTGGCCAGGATGGTCTCGATCTCTTGACCTCGTGATCCACCCACCTTGGCCTCCCAAAGTGCTGGGATTACAGGCTTGAGCCACCATGCCCAGCCCATAAAACCATTCTTTTAAAAAATTAACAGTTTTTCCAATTCCTTTTTTGTTTACTTGCTTTTTTTTTTTTTTTTTTTTTTTTGTGAGACAGGATCTTGCTTTGTAGTCCAGGCTGGAGTACAGTGGTGCAGTCATGGCTCACTGCAGCCTTGACTTCCTGGGCTTAAGTGATCCTCTTTCCACAGCCCCCAGAGTAGCAGGGGATACAGGCGTGAGCCACCATGCTCAGCTAATTTTTTTATTTTTGTCTTAGTATGTTGCCCAGGCTGGTCTTGAATTCCTCGGCTCAAGCAATCCTCCCACCTCAGTCTCCCAAAGTGCTGGGATTACAGCCATGTGAACCACCAAGCCAAGCCAATTCATTTTTTGATAATAACATTTCCTTGTTTTTAAAGCTTTTGATACTTTATGCTTAAAATCCAGTAACAAGAGCAGTAAATATTAAAGAGGTATTAAAAAATTACTTCTTTCTAGTAAAGAGGCTGGGGAAAGAAAATAATGTTTTGGGAGCTTTTATAACACTTTAAAACAAATCTGACCGAGAAATCTGACTAGGAAAATAATTTTCATCTCTTCTAAACACAAATATATTTTCAATTCAAATAAGCCCATATGTCCACACATTTAATGTAAAGAGACAATAATGATGTTCTATCATTTTTGATCACTTATTATCTGCCAGGAACTCTGCTAAATGCATTACATTTATATTAATCCTCACAATAGTTATAACTATTTTACATATGGGGGTCTGAGGCACAAAGAGATTAAACAATTTACTCAAGCCATAGTACATGGATGGAGCTGAGACTCAAACCCAGATGCCTAGTACCTTGTCTGATTTCTTTTTACATATATACTTTTTTTATTTTATTAAAATTCAGTACTCATGTTCACAGAAACCTCTCTAGTAGTGAATTATAGAAATGATTCCTGAAAGTATAGTCTTCCATATCTGCTTTCTGAATCAATATACAGCAGGTCCTCCAATAAAACTGTTTTCTTTCAACATCATTTTGTTGTAACATTAATGAAGAAAACAAATCAATTTCCATCCATGGCCACAGTCTTCTGTGGAGTTTGCATGCTCTCCCCAGGTCTGCATGGGTATTCCTTGGGCTCTCTGGTTTCTTTCCACAAGCCAAAGCTATGCACATTAGATGAATTGCCATGTCTATATGGTCCCAGTCTGAACGAATGTGGGTGTGTGAGTACACCTTGCAATGGAATGGCCTCCTGTCCAGGGTTGATTCCTGCCTTGTGCCTTAAGCTGCCAGGATAGCTCCAGCCACCCCCAACCCTGAACCAGAATCAGTGGGTTGGAAAATGAATAGATACAAATGATTGCCAAATAAAAATTAGTGGGCCAGGTGTGGTGGCTCACACCTGTAAGTCCAGCACTTTGGGAGACCAAAGTGGATGGATCACTTGAGGTCAGGAGTTCCAGACCAACCTGACCAACACGGTGAAACCCCGTCTCTACTAAAAATACAAAAATTAGCTGGATGTGGTGGTGTGCACCCATACTCCCAGGTACTCGCAAGGCTGAGGCAGGAGAATCACCTGAACCCAGGAGGCAGAGGTTGCAGTGAGCCAAGATCATACCACTGTACTCTAGCCTGGGCAGCAGAGTGAGACTCTCTCTCAAAAAAAAAAAAAGTAGTAAGGTATATGATAATCATACAAATGCACAATAAATGATGCAGTAAGAAAGGGCTCAATGATCTGCCATATTGGTTACTGCTGAACTGCGTAGTGGTAGGAGATTCTCCTTACAAATTTCACTTTGCAGACACCTATTCCTCAATTTAACTCACCACCATTATGACTGCTTTCACTAAAAATTGCGTAAATAATTATCTTATTTTTATTAATCTTTCTTAAATGTATTTGTATCCCACATTTATTTCATTGTTTAATATTAGAAGTGTTTTGAGTCTTTATTCAGAAGTTTGGTGAAGTTTTTGCGACCAGAAATATGCCATAGGAACTTAACTCTTACTTACATCAATTAACTTACCGATTTCATGTAAAGTCACAGTTTCCAAGAATCTACTAACTTAAGTGAGGACTTATACTACATTGTGTATAAAATATTCATTGTATCTGGCAAATGTCTGACACCCAGTAAGTACTAAATAAAAGTGCAACTGTTAATAATATTTATCTCTTCTTTACTCACTCTGTGATAATTCCGGATTTCCTTTCAGATTCATCATCTTTGGAATTGAAGGTCCATACACATCCACATCTAGCAAACCAATGGCCTTGGACTGTAAATAAATAAATAAATAAAAATAAAAAGCAAAACAAAAACACTTTATCATAAGATTGTTCCCACTCTTCTCAAAGATGAAGTATATAGCAACAGTAACCTGAGTATAGAAAATAAAACTGGCAAAATATTCCAAATCATAACCTAAACTTTCAAAGCAACAGTTAAATAAAAGAGCATAAATTGCTTAGAGTCTTTACTGATTTACTAGTATCATCTAGATAACTGACTAGAGAAACCTACCCTATATGCTTTACATACTGTAGTTCAGGTCTCCCAAATAGTCTCAAGCAGACTAAGACCTTTTAGATCTGAACATGAGTTTGAGAACAAATTACATGCAAACAATTTCAAAATAATGATTTGTGATGGCAAGCAAAACCCCAGAAAGACAAAGCATTAACTTTTGGAATGCCTGTCTAACACACCAAAGAAGACAAAATTAAAAAAAGATCAAAGGAAGCAAGGCTATAAAAAAGCACATGAGAAATTCTGATGCAGATCTGGGATAAATGAGATAGAAGCGCCAATAAGGATACTGGCACACCTAACATAGAGACAACCTCTTATATGCAAGTCACAATTAAATACTCAATGTTAGAGGATTCAGAAACAACTAAAACTGTTTTCTTTGATGATGCTGAAGGACAGGATGCCCTGTCTGGTCTATTCGCTGGCTGTCAATTAATCAGCAGCTTAGCCAAGGAAAGGAAAACAAAATTCACTGTTCAGAAATATGTCTCTTTTTTTCTTCTTCCCCTCTCTTCTTTCTCTTTTGATAGATGAAATAAATCTGTTATTGGTTTTGTTCATCTACAAGTAAACAGTAACACAGTATGTCTTAGAGTTATGTTTCGTCAAGTCTTACAACTTCTCTGCTACTCTTCTCATATCCTGGCAGAATAAAACTCTTAACTCCTCAACAAAATTTTTTGAAAAACTGAAGCAATCGCTCATCTTCCATGTTACTTATCTATTTCTAGACAAAAAGAAAATTACTTTTTAAATTTTGTTATCTGGTTCCGATGAATATACAAAATAAGATAAATCTAACATTTGTGTTCCCAACTTTATGCTGACTAAAACTACAGTTTAAATATATATATATATATATATATATATATATATATATATATATATATGTGTGTAATCCTAGAATTTTGGGAGGACAAGATGAGTGGATCACAAGGTCAAGAAACAAAACCATCCTGGCCAACATAGTGAAACCCTGACTCTATGAAAATACAGAAATTGGCTGAGCATGATGGCACGTGCCTATAGTCCCAGCTACTCGGGAAGCTGAGGCAGGAGCATTGCTTGAACCCAGGAGGTGGAGGCTGCAGTGAGCCGAGATTGCGCCACTGAACTCCAGCCTGGCATCTGGCGACACAGCGAGACTCTGTCTCAAAAAAAAAAAAAAATATTTTTATATATATGTGTGTGTGTGTGTGTGTGTGTGTGTGTGTGTGTGTGTGTATGTACGTATATACGTGTGTGTGTCTGTGTCTGTGTGTGTGTGTGTAATATCTCTTCTGTGTCTCTCGGTGTCCTCAGAGGAATAAATGAAATTAATATATGTCTCCATGAAAATCTCAGCTTTATATAAAATAAAGGAAAAAATAGGAAGGATACTTGATTTTTAATAGAATGGTGGTATATAAAATTTAAGTTTAGAGGAATGCTGGGAAGATGGCCGACTGAGAACAGCTCAGGACTTCAGCTCCCAGTGAAAGTGCAGAGGGTGAGTGGACGCCGCAATTTCAGACGAATTTTTATTGCCCACAGACCAGGAGATACCCAGGCAGAGGGGTCACCAGCGCCACTGTTCTGGCCGGTGTGGCTGTTTTGGCCCCCGCGGGGCTGATTTGGCCCTCGCAGCTGCTTTGACCATGCCCTGTTGCGGCGGTTCTCCGTACAAAAGCCACTGGTCTGGGAGCCCTCTTAGCTGGCAAGCCCTGAGACGACAGAGTTGCCCATTCATCTGAAATAGCGAGCCAGGCCAGGAGATTCCTAGGCAAAAAAACCACTAGGAGCCGGCGCAGCTGTTTGAGCTGACTCAGTGAGTCGCAGCACGGGAGATCCTGGTGCCTTTTCAACAAGCGACTGGAACGCTGGGTGGTTCAACTTAAAAAATTAAAAAAAGACTCTGAGTCAGGGAGCCAGGTGATCAGGCTCGGTTGGTCCCACCCCACCACCCCCAACAACAACAACAACGAAAACAAAAACAGTAATTGGAAACGCTCTGGGTTGAGCGTTTCAAAGCAAGCACAGCTGAACCCGGGACGGTGGGGCTCTGTGGGGGAGGGGCGTCTGCCATCATTGAGACTCTACACCAATACAGAGGCAGGCCGCTGTTGCTGAGGCAACCCGCCGTTGCTGAGGCAACCTGCCACAACAGAGAGAGTCCGCCATAACAGAGGCGGGGCCACCGTTGCCAAGACAGTTCTAACTACACCCATATAAACAGGACTGCAGGGAAGAGCACAGGGCAGCTGGGCGGAGCCCACAGCAGCTCAGCAAAGCCTCTGCAGGCAGACAGTGGCTAGGTGGGCTGCTACCTGGGCGGGGCAGACCGGAAAGAAAAATCAAAAAGGGCAGTAGCACAACGGAAACTCATAAAGCCCTAACTCCCCGGGACACAGCACCTGGGAACAAAAAGCGGTGTATGAGTTCAGCTGCAGCAGACCTAAACGTACCTGCCCAGCAGCTCTGAATGAACAACGGAGCTCACAGCTCAGGACTTAAGCCCCAATAAAAGATAGACTGTCTCCTCAAGTAGCTCCCTGACCCCTATAGATCCAAAGAGTCACCTCATAAAGGAGAGAACAGACTGACAGTTGGCGAGCATCCTTCTGGGACAAAGATAGCAGGAGAGGAAACGGGTAGCAACCCTTACTGTTCTGCAGCTGCTGCAGGTGATCCCCAGGCAAGTGGGGTCTGGAGAGGACCTCAGCAGTCCTACAGCAGAGGGGCCAAACTGTTAGAAGGAAACCTTAAAAAAAATAAAAAAAGAAGTAACTTCAGCATCCATGAACTAGAAGCTCACTCAGAGACCCAATCTGAAAGACAGTAACTACAAAGACAACAGGTGGATAAACCCACAAAAATGGGACGAAACCAGTGCAAAAAAGGACGAAAACTCCCGAAACCAGAACACCTCTCCTCCTAAAAGGGATCACAACTCCTCACCACCAAGGGAACCAGACCGGATGGAGAAGGAGTATGATGAAATGACAGAATCAGACTTCAGAAGGTGGGTAGTAAGAAACTACAGTGAGCTAAAAGAACATGTACTAACCCAATGCAAAGAAACTAGGAACCTTGAAAAAAGATTGGACGAAATGCTAATGAGAATGGACAACATAGAGAGGAATATAAGTGAATTGATGGAGCTGAAAAATGCAACACGAGAACTTCGCGAAACATGCACAAGTTTCAACAGCCGAATTGACCAAGCAGAAGAAAGGATATCAGAGGTCGAAGATCAACTCAATGAAATAAAAAGAGAAGGCAAGAACAGGGAAAAAAGCACAAAAAGGAATGAACAAAATCTTCAAGAAATGTGGGACTATGTGAAAAGACCTAATCTACATTTGATAGGTGTACCTGAATGTGACAGAGAGAATGAATCAAAGCTGGAAAATACTCTTCAGGATATTATCCAGGAAAACTTCCCCAACCTAGCAAGGCAGGCCAATATTCAAATCCAGGAAAAACAGAGAAGACCAGAAAGATATTCCTCAAGAAGAGCAACCCCAAGGCACATAATCGTTAGATTCACCAGGGTTGAAATGAAAGAGAAAATGCTAAGGGCAGCCAGAGAGAAAGGTCGGGTTACCCACAAAGGGAAGCCCATTAGACTCACAGCAGATCTCTCAGCAGAAACCCTACAAGCCAGAAGAGATTGGGGGCCAATATTCAACATCCTTAAAGAAAAGAACTTTCAACCCAGAATCTCCTATCCAGCCAAACTAAGCTTCATAAGTGAAGGAAAAATAAAATCCTTTGTGAACAAGCAAGTACTAAGAGATTTCATCACCACCAAACCTGCTCTACAAGAACTCCTGAAAGAGGATCTACACATATAAAGGAACAACCAGTACCAGCCACTCCAAAAACATACCAAATGGCAAAAGAGCATCAACACAATCAAGAATCTGTATCAACTAACCAACAAAACAGCCAAGTAGCATCAAAATGACAGTATCAAATTCACACATAACAATGCTATCCCTAAATGTAAATGGACTAAATGTCCCAATCAAAAGACACAGACTGGCAAATTGGATAAAAAGCCAAAACCCATCAGTGTGCTGTATCCAGGAAACCCATCTTACAAGCAAGGATACACAAAGGCTCAAAACAAAGGGATGGAGGAAGATCTACCAAGCAAATGGAGAGCAAAAAAAAGCAGGAGTTGCAATTCTCATCTCTGATAAAATAGACTTTAAAGCAACAAAGATCAAAAGAGACAAAGAAGGACATTACATAATGGTAAAAGGATCACTGCAACAAGAAGAGCTAACGATCCTAAATATATATGCACCCAAGACAGGAGCACCCAGATACATAAGGCAAGTTCTTAATGACTTACAAAGAGACTTAGACTCCCACACAATAATAGTGGGAGACTTTAACACTGCATTGTCAATGTTAGACAGATCAACCAGACAGAAAATCAACAAGGATATCCAGGACCTGAACTCAGACTTGGAACAAGCAAACCTAATAGACATTTACAGAACTCTCCACCCCATATCCACAGAATATACATTCTTCTCAGCACCACATCACACCTACTTTATAAATTGACCACATAATTGGCAATAAATCACTCCTCAGCAAATGCAAAAGAACAGGAAATCATAACAAACAGTCTCTCAGACCACAGTGCAATTGAGTTAGAACTCAGAATGCAGAAACTAACTCAGAATCGCACGGCTTCATGGAAACTGAACAACTTGCGCTTGAATGTTGACTGGATAAACAATGAAATGA